TGGCGTGATTATTGACGACTGCTGAAAGGTTGAAAACTTTCACTCTAAATAATTTCCAGGATATTTGAGATAGTGTGTACTGCTGCACGCCACCAGGTAAGGTCGCTTAAGGCTGTAAACCTCTCGCTAAGAACCGGCCTCAGTATAGAATGCCCTTCCTGCCCAAGCTCTCCTGATATTGATATTGAAACAATTTATTTAGCCAGAAGAACACAGATACAGAGTCGATAATAATAACCATATTAACATGGCTGAGCACCTGATATATACTGTACATTTATCTCACTGAATTATTATGTAACATTTAGTATCATCTGGAATAGTACACATAACATGGTGATAGTAAGAACATATTAGAATGTTACCACGGTTATTACCTCGTTATTTATTTTAATTTTTTTTACATTTATATTATAAATAAATACATATTTTACAGTGGAGTTGATATACACTCATATGATAAGGGAGGGAAGCAGTACAACTTGAGTTGCATTAAGGTGGAACAAGAGTACAACGCTGTCAGTATCATGATTGTCTCGTCGGCAAAAATATTCATTGCACTGGTAATTTCTCTGTATCTACAAGACAATTTCCGATAAAACAGTTTTGGTGGTACAATAAGAGCAGGAATATAAAGTATGTACTGTATCACAAAGAAATATTAATACTTAGACAATATATATTTTTTAATAGATGATTTAAAGGAAGGGAGCGTAGTCTTTGCTCTGGTGGGTGGGGGTAAGTTGTTCCACACCTTCACATCACAATATGTTATGGAGGTCTGGGACTGAGAGGAGCGCATAGGGGGTGGACTTAGCAGCTCTGGGTGTCTTAAGTTGTATCTCTGATTATTCCGGAACTGGAAATAATTATTGTCAAGCAAGTAATTGACAGATTTGTAAACAAATAGAGCACAGCTATGTCATTGTCCGCACAACTCTCCTGTGCAGTAATCAGGGGTTGTGTTTTTGAAGAGCCAGAGGCCTGCCATAGTGTGTGACAATGTTTCAAGTGTTGGTAAACAAGATCATAATAGATTTATTTCAGTGCTGCGAGAGTGAGTGACTGACGAGTGTGATACAAGATACCGCACTGTCTATTGACTTCACTGTGAATGGCTTGTATGTGGTTTTTCCAGCTAAGTTTCTCATCAACAATAACCCCAAGAAATTTAGTATTTTGTTTGCGTTCGAGGACTGTATTACCATGGTACAGGGGGTCCAAATCTGGGGTTAAGTTTTCTTCTGTGAAAGATTGTGTCGATAATTTGTTCGAGGTTTAAGGTCAGTTTATTACGTATTACCCAGGTCCTGACATTAGTCAATATAGTGTTCATAGTTCTCATCAAGGAATAGAGGTCTGAGTTGCTGGTGTAGAGATTACTATCGTCTGCAAATAAGTTGTATTTTATGAGTGTGCTGGAGTGGACTGCATTGCATCATTATGTACAACAAGAACAGTACAGGACCGAGAATGGAACCTTGAGGGACGCCATACGAAATTGGTTAGGAGGCAGATTAATGATTACCAGACATACTGCTCCCTGTTAGATCGATACGAGGTCAACCAATTGTGGGATATGCCCCTAACGCCGTAATGTTCAAGCTTTGAAAGGAGGACGGTATGGTCGACAGTATCAAAGGCCTTGGAATATTCCCACTGTGAACTGACTGTCATCAAAGGAGTTTAACATGTCATTAGTAAAGGATAGCAGAGCACTCTCAGTCGACCTTCTTGCTCTAAATCCAAACTGAGAGTCTGTATGGATGTTATTGACACTGCAGAAGGAATTAAGTCTACTACATGCTAGCTTCTCCAGTATCTTACTTAACGCTGGGAGGACTGATAGTGATAGGGGGCAGTAAATCTTTAAAAGCCCTTTATCCCTTTATTTTTTATATGCTGGGTGAACTTAAGCAATTTTCAGTTTATCCGGAAAGACACCTCTAGTGAAGGAGGAGTTACGAATGTGTAAGAGAACAGGTAGTAATAAGTGGGTTACTTTCTTAATGATGCTCGTTTGTATATTGTGGTCGCCTGCTGCTGTATTTTACATTCTTATGATGGCCAGTAATTCATTTGCTGTGACAGGGGATAAGAACAGCTCATTTTGCTGTCTGTTTTGCAGGTAGGCTCTAAATTCCTCATGGTGATAGGGATGCTCTCTGCAAGACTTTTGCCAACATTGATAAAATAGTCACTGAAGTGGCTGGTAATGAAGGAGGGTTCCGTTACAACTGAATCATTTATTATAAAAGCTGAGTAGGGGGGCTGTAGTAGGTTGAGTGTTCCTGTTCTGAATAGAATTGATGATATTCCAGGCTTTCTTATTGTTTCCTGATGCTGACTGGAGCTTATTTGTATAATAGCTGCGCCTGGCATTTCTAACTGCTTGAGTTACTCGATTTCTGATAGTTCGTTAAGCATCAGCGAAAGTTATTGGTCCTTTTGCGAATTTTCTTTGGAGTTTGTGTTGGTATTCCGCCATCACGCAACCAGATGACCTTATGTTTTAGGGTGTAAGCTTAATTGTCTACGTTTTTCCCAGATTATTGTTACTTAGGGCCGTTCTTTGTAAACCTCACGCTCGAACCAAGTTAACATAACTCTCCCTACAGAAGTCGCTCGAGCGTTAATTTTTATTTGTTTAGCGTCATCTTTACGTCGTAACCTAATTGTGGTGTGACGTCATCAAGCATCTTGTTTACGTACTCATTTATTTACTTCATTATTTTTGTTATTTAGGATGAACGGTTTCTGTATACTAAAGAATCTGCGTAATTTTGACTATTTTTGCCGCCGTCTTTGCTGTAGCTTTAGTAAGGCGATTAGTAGACTGTCTCCACCAACTCACTACTATGTGGACGCACTTTTAATATTTTATTTGGCTAACGCCAGACGATTTTATCCAGCTCAGAGGGGACCTTGTGCACAAGGAGTTAATGCTTTCCAACGTTACCAGTTAGAGAACAAATCTATGATACGGTGACCTTGGGAACAGTGTTGGTGGGTGGCAGACAACATTAATCCCAACATGGCAATACACTTTTACCATGTTGCATTAAGTACACAGAACCACTTTAAAATGCCGCGTAGTGTAAATGCTGGTATTTATATAAAGAATTACTGGATAACGAGACCACTAACTACCGTAATTACATGAGTCGGTGTAAACTAATATAAGCCTTTGTTGGCTCTGTAGAGAGAGCTAGCTGGTATAAACGTTAACAGACCGGTGGGTTTTTACGGGTTATTTTTATTCATTATCCTAATACACAGATAAGAGATAAGTGATACTCTTAATTTTACTGTTCTCTTAATTAATACTTAAAGCTTCAGGACATGGTAATTTGACTGTTGTTTGTGGTGGTGTTTATTCTACTGTATTTTTTCATTACATCATAAAGGAAGTTTTCCTCGAGGTTCATTGTTACGTAAGAGTGAGATCCTGTGTTTCTGGCAGGCGCGGTAAATACCTCAGTAAATCAGCTGAACATTAGTAGCGGCGACTGGTCCATAAGGCATCAGCAGTGAACGCCTTTTCTTACAATAGGAGCCGCATTACCGTACGCCACGCCATAAACGCTCAATCAGGGTCATACACAAGGAAAATTGTCAACATTATCGTAGCTTTTATGAGGCAGTTGTCATACATTGCCACCCTCTTTTGGGGTGTTGTTGGCAGATTGACCGCGACAGTCAGCCTGTTTGTGCCCCCCTTGCTAACACTACTTCAATTTGTACCCACCAACTAACACTTGATTGCCCCGCAACCGCCTGCCCCAATTTTGTACCCCATAACCTAACACTGCCACAATTTGGCCCACCAACCTAACACCTTTACAACCGCCTTCCGCAACTAACACTGCGCCCAACCAACTAACCCTGCTTTAACGCTGCCAATAACACTGCTTCACAACCGCCCCACCAACTAACCGCTGCTTTGTGTGCCCCACAACTAACACTGCTTCCTTCGCGCTGCTCCTTCTTTCACCAACGTCCCCACCTGCTAACACTGCCCATTTTAGCTTACCGCCAATTGGTAAGCCACCTACTAACACTGCACCATTTGCTTCCCCCATAATTATTAGCGCTATTAATACGTGCACATTAATTAGTTCTCTCTTCTAAAAAAATCTCGTTATTAATTCCCGTATGCTCTGTACTGTGTGTATTGTGAAATTTTATTGTGGTCATTATATTTGTTGTACGGGATTAATGTATCGAATGACGTTATATCCGTTAATGGTATTATTTTACAGTACGAGTCGCTGTTTACACACACACACACACACACACACATACACACACCCATAAGGACATCAAGTGAATGTGAAACAACCATACACAGGCTCCAGTTGTCAAACACCTTTACTGAATAAAGTTAAGGTTATTACAGAAAATAACAGTGGCATGATGAACAGGAATATATGACTGGTTTTATTGAAGATTCCTCACCAAATGAAAGATGTGTTTAACACTTTTAATTTTATATAAAATACGATAATAAAATTTTTAAACTAATAAATTGAGTTAATTCACCAACACTTGAGCCAAACACTGTACTGTACTACATCCTGTACATCTCTTGCATTTAGTAGTGCATCATTCCGCAAAATTTAAATTGTTGCAAAATTTCATCAATAGGGCCACAATTACACACCAAGTGTTTGTTAAACCCGTGGACGACGACGCACTGATGTAAACACTCCTTTCCTGGTCACGCCCCTGACAGCGCCATCATCACTTTAACATGCAGTCCAGTAAGCAGTTACGGACATAGTGGCGTAAATGCATCCACTCTGCTTTGATGTTCAGTGTTTAGAGGACCAGCATTAGCCATTGTGGCGTAAAACCCACTCCCTTTAGGGCCAGTATTCCAGCACCCATCGTGAATACTGTGACCCAGCGCAACTTTAATGTACATTGTTTAAACCGTAATTATATACCCAAAGTACTGTACCTGTATGATAATATGGTGTATCACTCCCTCCTGACAGATGTGGAGACCTGGGCGGTGGTAGTGGAGGATGCGGCGGTGGTGGCGGTGGGCGGTATGCGCGGGCGGGTGGGTGGCGCTCACCTACACCTTCTTCTTAGGCTTCGTCACCATCGTCTCCCTCACAGACCCCGCCCTCATGCGCACCTACCAGCCTCCACCTGACAACTTCCAGGTGAGTACTGCTATACCTGTGTGTGTGTGTGTGTTAAAAGGTTATGTAAATAAATATCCAGAGAAAACTAGAATGGCTTAAAATTTAACATTTCTTCAACTTCCGTTTCTGTATACCAGTACCCACCCAGTCCCTTGCCCCCACCCAATCCCTTGCCCCCACCCTGTCCCTTGCCCTGTCACACCCATGCCCAGTCCCTTACTTTGCAGTCCTGCCCATCGTTCGCCCCCCCAGCCTGCCCCCATCGATTCCTTCCCCCCCCGGCCTTGCCCCCCATCCGGTCCCTTCCCCAGCCCCTTGCCCCCATCAGTCCCTTCCCCAGCCTTGCTCCCCACCTTGCCCCACATGCCCTCACCTTGCCCCACATGCCCTCACCTTGCCCCACATGCCCTCACCTTGCCCACATACTGTATAGGGCACCGCAAACTCAGATCTCCCCCAACGTTTGGAAAAGTAATGCACCACAGGGTATGAAGCCTGGACATAGCCCACCCACCCACCACATACACGACCCTGCCCCTCCCCCTCCCGTATTGGCCTCTCCAAACTTAACGCTCACCAGCCAAGTTGAAACCACTAGAAACATTTCTCCATTGTTCTAGTGGTCAGCCTCCAGTGTGTTGGTGGCCATTGTCGTACTAGTCCTGTGGCTTTGCTCTCAAAATGGCCATGTTTGTTGACCTTGGGGGGGCGGGGAAATTGGAACTTGGTACAGTTATATACATGACCTTCACAAAGAAATATGGATATGGAAACACCTTGACAATGCCCTCTGGTGGCAGGTGGCACCACCTACTGGTGGGCGTCGGTATGTTCACTCCATCCTTCGTTAAAATGGCTATAACATTGTTTCTACTCAGTATAGTTGCATTCTGTTTTAAGATATGAACTCAAGAACATGACCAACTGTATTTTTCAGACAAAGAATATAAAACTGACGAAATTGTTTTTTATTGCTACACTTTTGAATATAAAATATCTGGATGCTGTGTTTCATGAATATGCTTCTGATATTTTAAATAAGTTTTCATGTCGTTAACATTGTATACTGTTTTGGTGTGTTTATCTTATAACTATAATTGGAGCATGATTCTTCTCATTAGACCATACAAACTATGCACGTTGGCTGTCCGTACACATCAGAGATTTGGCCAGTCTTCAACAGTGCTATCCAGATCTGTGTGCAGAGTTTTGTACTGGTAACTTTGTTGCTTAGAAAAGTAAGCACTGCTTCTCAACCATCCTTATTGACCAGGCCCACGAACAAAATAGTGGTCTGGCGAAGGGATCTGGTGGAGCAGTGGGACTCGCTGAAAACCCTGTGGCCTTCCGTCGCTGGATGGTTGCTGGACCAGAGATCAGCAGAATTCTTGAGCTGTTTGAAAAGAACTTTAGAAAAGGTTCAACATACAGGAATCATATGCATCATCATGAGCAGGCACTAGGGGTTCAGACAATATTTGCCAAGCAAACATGGTCTCTTGTTGCTACATTGGAGGACCTAAGAATCCATTTATGAAGACGAGTTAGCTATCCATACTTATGACATGCCCCAAAGGAAGTTTCCACTACTGAATATCCAGACACTTGGTCAAGAGCAGTATGATACATTTGCAAAAGAGTGACATGTCTTGTAACAGGCCAATCACAGCAGCCTCACCCAAAATAAGTCTTCAGGGAAAAATTTAAGAGTGGCTGACCTTAAAGGTGACAGGGGTCTATTTGCAAAACTCCATATTGCTTCACAGTCTCGGGATGGTGATTTAGAGCACTTCAAGCACGAAAATCAGCCATACCCACCCAGTCTGAGTATGGCAAGTTACGGCCCCCATCTGTAGGAGGAGACCTAGTGGCTTGCTTGGAGAAAGTGGTAGCAAAAGTATATGAAGCTCCAGACATTAATACTATCATCCTGGATGGGCCTGCAGTGGCCACGATTAAGCCTGGGGAAGCTACAACCTTTAGTGATTTCGCATGTATGAAATTCCTCCCTCACATCAGTTACTACCTCCGTAATGCTAATCGACTGTCCCTTGTAAGGGATACTTAGAAAGATGACAGCTTGAGTTCAACCAGAGGCAGACGTGGTGCAGGCACCCGTAGACGTGTCACAGGTGACACTAAGATTCCATCAAACTGAATTATTGACTTTGAGAAAATCACAATAAACTTGAATTATTTGACTTTCTCACAGCTGAGGTTCTTAAAGGCACATATCCTGGCAAGGAAATCTGTCACCCATGCCAGAATGTATTGTCTGTTCCAAAGAGAAACAATGAGTAATGTTGCACCTTGTTCTCACGAAGAGGCAAACAACACCTGCATTATCCTTCATGTTAAGGATTCTGCTGACAGGATATCGTAAAATTCTGGTCAGAACCGTGGCTTCTGATGTTACATTATGCATAGGTAATATAAACAAGATAGACCTGGATGAACCTGTAAATATCATATGGTACAGGGAAAGATTTCAGCTTCTTTCCCATACATGAAATGGCATCAACACTTGGTGCTGAAGTCTCTAATGGCTGTGTTCTACGCATTTGCAGGGTGTGATACCACATCACCATATCCAGGAAGAAGGAAGTCGACTGCCTGGAATATCTGACAACTGTATGCACGAGTAACAGAGGCCCTTAATGAGGTGAACAAGTGCTTGAAGAACATCCCACTTGAATATAAAGTAATATTGGAGAGATTTGTTGTTTTCATGTATGACAAGACCAGTGAGCAAGTGAAGGTCAATAAGGCCAGGAGGAAGTAGTTTGCTCACAAAGGTCGTGAGCTGGGGAACATTCCCCCTAGAGAAGGTGCCCTTCAAGAACACGTCAACCGTACAACATACCAGGGAGGCTATGTGTGGGGCCAGGTTTGGTCTTCAGAACTCATAAACTGTGGGTGGAAGAAAGGCTGCAGGCAGTCATAATGTTGATGTATGAAGAATTCCCAGAAGTGAACGGAATTGTGTTATTGTAATAATAATAATAATAATAATTTACGGTTTATTGAAAAAAAATTCTGCAGCCCGAAGGCTGAAAATATACATTGGACATAAATGACTTATTACATACATTGGTGGTTTAACAAAAGCCTTCATTAGAGAAAGGTAAAGGAACATACAGTGAACCTACAGATTAATGTAGGTGTTGAACAGCAAACTCGTAGTGTAGTAACTCCCTCCCAGATGGTGTTAGGAGGAACTCACGTTTGTGTAGTAGTTCCCTCAGATGGTGTTATGAGGGACCTGGCGTGGTGTAGTAATTCCCTCGCAGATGGTGTTATGAGGGACCTCACGTGGTGTAGTAATTACCTCACAGATGGTGTTATAAGAGGGCCTCATGGTGTGCTCCCTACAGATGAATATTATGAGGGCCTCACGTGGTGTAATAATTCCCTCACAGATGGTGTGATGAGGGACTTGACGTGGTGTAGTAATTCCTCACATATGGTGTTTATAAATGCATGTGGTGTATTAATTCCCTCACAGATGGTGTTTATATGAGTGAGGAAGGGTTTGGTCTGGGGCCTTCCTATCGTAGACGGATTAACTTGTAACTGGTTGTTGTTGGGTCTCACAGGGCCGTTATCACTGGGTGCCTGGGACCTCACTGTGTGAAGGTTAACTTAGGGTACGACTGTTACTGTTGAGTTGTTCTCACTGACTTAAGCACTGTTCACCACTGTTCACCTCTGTTTAACACTGGTTCCGTTCCTTTCCTAAATGAAATTGTAACTTCTGGCGAGAACTTGTTGATATTCCGGTGGGGAGGAGGGTTCAGGGGAGGGAGTTGGTATGGGCCAACTTAACAGTTGACCTGGCTGCTCCGAGAGGAGCGCCATGTTTCCAGCAGGTCATATCTGTAAAAGAACAAACAATGCAAGAATAATTGATAGAAGCAAAGTTATAAGCATATTGTTGAAGGATGGTGTGAAAAAGGCGGTGCCCACCCCTAGGTGGCGCCACCTGCCAACGGGGGGCATTGACAGTGCTTTCATATCCAGAATTATTTGCGGTAGTCAGATATAGAACTGCCATATATTGTGCTGGTTTCCCAAAGTGCACAAACATTGTGTTTAGCCACGTGTCAACAGTAACCTTGCTCAAAGAATCATTTCAGAGGTTCTGAGTTGACCCGCACGAGGCTGCGTTCTGGGTTTATATGTGTATTAGTGTGTTTATGGATCAGTGTTCACAGGTGTTACGTCAATTATGAATCGATAATGTGACTAGAAAACAATGACCCTTAAGAATACATTTAACGCGTGTACGCATACAATCTTAAACTCAGTACAGACTCACCTTTGAACTACTGACTTCATCCGAGAAGAGTGAAGATAACGTGACCTTGCCTTCCTCGCATATAAGATGATGCCCTATGATGAAGAAGATAGATCATGAGTAATACAGAATTTGTGTATATTATTATTTTGAGAACTTTGCACCATTATCTTTTATTTTCTACTGCCTTCGTAACTTAACGTGTCTTCTTATTTCTGAATTCACAAAATCAGATTCTTTTTGCGAACGTACACGAATTATGAAAAGATAAATTAAAAAGACGTATTCTGGTTGAGAGTCGTACCAAGCTTACGCCAGATGGGTGCGAGACTTAAAGAGGATCTCCCTTTAAACACCGAGGGAGGCGCTGACGGTGGTCTGGCGGCGACCGGTGGGAGGGAGGGTGGGTCGGGGTAGGGGAAACCTTCACTCTCCCCCACCAATGTGTGGGTGTTGGACAATCCGTGCTCCCCCAAGCCTTACTTTGAAAAAATTACCCCCCCCCCCCGTTAACTCTGCCCACCAACACTACCTGCCCACGCCTCTAGTTGGGTGCAAAACTTGTTTTAATCTATAAAGAGAATCTGTTTGCGTAGCACGCGTGAATTTTTGTTTAGTTAAATTGTTCAACAGGGGAACTGTTCATAGTTAACAGGGGAACTGTTCATAGTTAACAGGGGAACTGTTCATAGTTAACAGGGGACTGTTCATAGTTAACAGG